GCTCCTCGATGTTTGTAAAGGAAGCAACTTTTCTACAATTTTCTTGACGTCCGCAGGTTTTAATATTTGTTCTTCATTGATTGCTTATACCATGAAATTCGGAATCAAAATTCATTGTAGGAGATATAAGTCGATTAACTTGAAAGTTTCTGCTTCGAGTATCCTACAGTGAAGGAGCCTAGGCATGCACAATGGTTTACGAGGGAACCGCAAAGTTAATAAATTATTTGCCAGCCGCTGTCAAGTGGTTGCAGCCCCTCTTCCTCCTCCCCGGATCATGAGTGGCCAGCAGTCGGCCATAGCATATTAGCTCTGGCCTCCCTCTGGCTATTCACCGGCCACCTAAAAGCCTTCCCTTACCTCATGAACAATATTCCTGATGCCTGGGCGTGTAAGCCACAAATATGCCATTGAAGTGATCACGGGGCCAGGGGCTGGTCAGCGGGACCAGCCACTGGTGACGGCCATTTCATACATAAGCTCAAATTTTATAGCAATTTGCTGGTCCTAGGGAACTTGGACTTTGCAGCACTATGATGCAGACTCTTAAAGTCAATCATTTTTAATTTCCTTGTTAACAGTAATATAGAAAAAATAATTTTTCCTTTGAAAATAATGAAAATTATTACATCTGCAAAGAGGAAGAAATCTAGTACCGTAAAATACCACAAAAAATTAAGTGGAGTATGAATAAAAGTGAAAAAGCTATGAATTTTCTTCTTTATTCAATTACATCCCAAAAATAGACTAATTTTAGCACATTTTTAAAACTATAATTTCTAGATTTCCTATAAGCCAATTTCAAAGATTTTAGCTCAATTAAAAAGCTATAGTTGTAGGCTATCTATTTTAAATAAAATAAATTATTTTGGTATTTGACTGAGACTTGACTGCAAGATGTGGAGCAAACAGTTGTGACTGATATGAATGGTCTAAATTCATCTAAAGGTGGAATTGAATAAAATAAATTTCAGTTTCAAAGTTTTGGCATCATAAGACTTATAAATGACAAATATATGATAGATAAATGATAAATTACTAAGAAAATAAATTAATAACACTAGTATATAGTCAGATGGGGTAAGACAGGACCGAAATAACTAACAAGCATGTAGCATCTATACCATGAATAAATAAAAAACCCTAAACCTATCACAAGGTGTAGTTATGCAATGGGCTTCTAAGCTACAACTCAGACTTTCTGCATACAACACAGTTTTCTGTACGGATTAAAAAAAGTGAGCTGGTCCCATCTTACCCCACTGGGGTAAGATGGGACCGGGGCTGGGGTAAGACAGGACCAACAGGTAATTCTTGTGTTACAAGGTTTTTAACAAAAGTACAAACCTGATATTCAATATTATCAATCTAGAAACACATTATTTGATTACACAACCACTTGTTACTGTTTTTTATTGCAGGATGTCAACTCTATTGATATTTATCAGTCACATTGGAGTTTTTGTCACAAGAAAACTGTTAACTCTTTAATGACCAAATTTTTTTAAGCGCATAACATTTTTTTGGTATAATTTCTAGTGATTCCAGTCACTAAGTAGTGTATAGATGAGTACCTATAAACATTGAAAATTGTATATTGAAAAATTGTAAGGCAACATTTCAGTCCACTTGGTCTTACAAGATCCTAACATTAAACGCAACGGTATGATCCATTTAGTCTTCTGAGAACAAAATATGGATGATATTATGTAGCTGGCATAGTTAATTATCATTTTATACGTTACTTTTGCTAGCAACAATAGGCTTAAGAAGTCTGGCCAAGAAACTTCCAATAAACTCTAGTATTTTAGCGAAAAATGCCTTATTTGAGATTGAGATTTCAAAGAAAATGTGTGTTTTTCCAACATCCTTGATGTTGGGAAAACATCAAGGATGTTGGGCCAAAGACGCCAGGGCCATGGTTGTGAGGCCAATGTCTAGGCAGAGAGGCCAGTGTCCAGGTTGAGAGGCCAGTGTTACGGCTGAGAGGCCAGGGTCCCAACTGAGAGGCCAGGGTCCCAACTGAGAGGCCAGGGTCCCAACTGAGAGGCCAGGGTCCAGGTTAAGAGGCCAGGGTCCAGGTTGAGAGGCCAGGATCCAGATGGAGAGGTCCAGCTTGAGAGGCCAGGTTTCCACCTTCCATTCTTTTAATTTCAATCATGATTGATTCATTTTCTTCTTCAAATTTGCTTTCAGAACTGGTTTCAGGCATATTGGTGAAACCAATATCGTATCCATTATCAGAAGACTTTTGATCCAGGTCTTCATTAGATTCACTGGAGAATGGAGTAGCAAGAAGATGTTCACATAGACTGGGACATTTTCTTGGAGAAGAAAATGTTTTTATGCTAAAGCTCTTGAAGAAGTCTGAAAGGCAAAAAATTTTACAAGTGCACTTCAATAATGGCCAGTGTATGTAGATAGAAAATCGGTAAACTGAATTCGTGTTTCTCACTAATAGTGAGAAAAATATTGTAGAAGGGCACTAAATTATAGAATAGTAATGAAAACACAATTATTATACATCGTAATTCCCTACTTGCATGGTCTAAGGACTGTCTCTTATACACATCTAGATGTGTATAAGAGACAGGTATTTCGACACGCAAATGTATGACGTCACCATTTCAACCATCAATGAACGCATGGAACTAAAACAAAGCTTAATATAAAGGAAAAGCTGGAGAGGTGACGGAATTACCTACGATGTCGGAATATACCGCGTTTACCCTATAATCCTGTTGGACATAATGGCATAATGCCAACACTCATGTGCTCGAATTCTGATCGCTGTGTGAGCTGTATTGGAATACAACACACTAACACAGCAGTCACAGCTTGGAATTAGAACACTATTGAATGTTGAACACTACTTAATTAAGCTTTTAATTAGGAACTATTAAGCTTTTATTTAAGAAAATTTTAATTTTTGCACACAGCTTGGAACAAGCTGTGTGTGTCTAATTCCAAGCTGTGTCGGAATCAGTTTTTATGTGTCTAAAACCATCTCTTAACTTGATCATCTATTAATTTTTTTACCACTTGAAATCAGCAAATACAAGTATACTTAAAGGATTCCTAATATATTCACAGACATTAAAAGTCTCAAACCATAATATTCTTTCTACACAAACATTTTATCTCTATTTGGTAGAGCAAGGTCAACTATCAACTTGACACATTTTTCGATGTTCTTTACTGGGTGACCCGCACTGTCTCTCCTTGGATCTCAACATTTTCCTGCCTGACCACCCAGACCTAGTGTTTTGGCAATAGTATGGCGCTCAAAAGTATGACGTCACTATTTCAACCATCAACAAATGCATGGAACTAAGACGAAGCTTAATATAAAGGAAAAAAGTTGAGAAGTGTCGGAATTACCCACGATGTTGGAATATACCTTGTTTACCCTATTCCAACATTGTGGGTATTTCTGATACTTCTCAACTTTTTCCTTTATATTAAGCTTTGTCTTAGTTCCATGCATTCGTTGATGGTTGAAATAGTGACGTCATACTATTGCGCGCCATACTATTGCCAAAACACTAGGTCTGGGCCATCTGGTGGGAAAATGTTAAGATCCAAAGAGAGGCAGTGCATGTCACCCAGTGAGAACATAAAAAAATATGTCAAAGTTGATACCAAATAGGGTCACCTTGCTCTACCAAATAGTGATAAACTATTTGTGTAGAAAGAATATTATGGTTTGAGACTTTTAAATAAGTCTGTGAATATATAAGGAATCCTTTAAGTATATTTGTATTTGCTGATTTCAAGTGGTAAATAAATTAATAGATGATTAAGTTAAGAGATGGTTTTAGACACATAAAAACTAATTCCAACACAGCTTGGAATTAGACCCACACAGTTCATTCCGAGCTGTGTGCAAAAATTAAAATTTTCTCAATTAAAAGCTTAATAGCTCTTGATTAAAAGCCTAATTAAGTACCATAAAATTGGGTAACTTTGACCACTTTTTTTTAAATGATGCCATTGTTTTACTAGATAAGTTAAACTTAAATTGAAACATGCAAAATACAGGTCTATACTCTAGCTTTACTCACCATAAATTGCTGGCTCCTGCCTTTCACAGTTTTGATGTAATTTAAAAAAAAGTGATGGTCTTTGTTACCCCAGCTCTTGGGTTTCTTTGACCGGGTGGTAAAATCAATTTTATTTTTTAGTAAAATAACTCCAAATAACTCCAGGTTGTGGTGCATTGTAGTAGAACTCTTCTAGTTACATATATAAAAGACAGATTTTAGGAAAGTGTCATAGTTTGCAAATGGGGGGCGCTGCCCCCAAATGGGCAAAATGTGACCACCTAATGGCAGCCGTGATGGGGTAGCATAGACCAGTTTGGAAATTAAGTTAAAATTACCATATATAAGACTCTGTAGAGTCTGAAACATAAAGAAAAAAACAATAGGTATATAAAAAACATAAAATATGTTATATAGGTACCTACCTATGGTAATTTTAACTTGATTTCCAAGCCGGTCAATGTTACCCCGTCATGGCTGCCATTAGGTGGTCAAAGTTACCCCATTTGGGGGTGGCGCCCCCCATTTGCAAACTATGACGCTTTCCTAAAATTTGTCATTTGCATATGTAACTAGAAGAGTTCTACTACAATGCATCAAAACCTGGAGTTATTTAACCAAAAAATGAAAAAATTTGAGGGGGTACTCTGACAGGCTTTAAATAATAGCTTTTTTTTTTGTTGGTCACATTTTTAATTTTTTAACCTATTAGATATGCAAACTTTTTAAATCTTTCTATTGTGTTATGTAGCCTCAGTATTAGGCCTTTAATGCCCATTGACAAAATTTTTCTATGTCAAATAGTTTTCAAGTTTTGGTGGTTTTTGTTAAAAAAACAAAAAGTGGTCTAAGTTACCCCACTGGTCTAAGTTACCCCATTTTACAGTAATTGGGATGTATACGTATATATTTAACTGAGAATTAGTTTGGTGTTCCAGTTTTGTGTTCAATAATTACCCTTTCTTCTTCTCTATTCAGGAAAGTGTGGTATTTGAAATTTTAGGTATTTAGAATTTCTGAAAAATTTCACACCATGGATCAAGAAGAGCTGCAGTATGATGAAAATGCTGATGTGTCTGAAGAAACCTTCAATGATACAGACCAGAACATTGAGTCTGAGCTGGAAGCCATCAAAGGTAATGAGATCAATCCAAGCAGTATATATATGCCGCAATAATGAAATTTACACCTGACCCATGAATATTCTTTACAGGAGCAGTGCATTGCATTAATTCAGTCATGCAATTACTGAGCTTAATTTTATATGTGAGCAAAACTCAATAAATGCATTTGTCATTTAGCTATACTTTCTATACAAGATGGAGTTAAATATATTTTATTACTGTTGCTTGAAACTAAATTAAGACAGGATCATGTTCATTTTTTTAAAGTCACTTGGCTCTCATTTAATTTTTTTCCCATGTACTAGTATTCTACATAACTAATAAAAACTATTATGCAGCTCGTGTGCGGGAGATGGAAGATGAAGCTGAGAAGATCAGACAGATCCAAACCGAGGCTGACAAACAAATGAGCAACTTCTCACCTCCAGGCGCTACTTCTCCTTCAGCATCCAACCCACTTACCATAGAGGAGAAGATGGAAGTGGATGCTCGTAGCATCTATGTTGGAAATGTAAAAAATCTCCTGATAATTACCATGTCTGAAGTTCTATCTCATCTAATGTCAGTCATAGTGTGGAGTTAGGAGGTTCAGTTTGGATGCATAGCTTTTTATGTTTTCAATTTTCATGGAGTACATTGGATATAGCTGTATGTTAGATTTAAAATGTTGAAATCCATACAATATTCATTTTCTTAAACTGGGATTTTTATTTGATATGTTATCTTTGGGACTTATTATAAAGGTAACATTACCTCACCTATCTGTGAGGCCTTCAACTACGAGTATCACAGCAGCAGCATTGCTGTGTTGATATGAAATATCTAAATTTTCGCGGTAGAATTGTCAGGGAATTTATATAATTACAATTACATTTTAGTTTAATCATGATTTTACTTGGAATACATAATTACGATAGAAAAGTATGAGACTTTCCGAAGAAAATATTCAGATATTATATTTTAAATATTATTGCAGAAGTCAAGTGTCAGCCCCTTGCTTTTTTAATATTTTAACCCAAAGATGAAAGATGTCATGTGTGTGTGTGTTTGAGATGCTCACTCATTGTGTTGAATTATGTTCTCAGGTGGATTATGGCGCAACTGCTGAGGAGATGGAACAGCATTTCCATGGCTGTGGGGCTGTCAACAGAGTCACAATCCTCTGTAACAAGTTTGATGGGCATCCTAAGGGCTTTGCTTATATTGAATTTAATGACAAGGATTCCATCCAGATGGCAATGGCTCTTGACGAGTCTCTGTTCCGAGGAAGACAGCTTAAGGTACGCTTGCATAAAGGCTGTTCATTTCTAAAATGTTTAATGTATGTGAACAATAGGAAGATGTAGAAATATAAAAAAATTATTTTTACATTTTTTAAATATTTTAAAAATATATAAATTTTCAAAATCATTTATTCTGCCATTTCATTTATTTATTCATTTATTCTGCCAAAATTTCAATCATTATCAGGGAATGTAAATTTCACAGGTTGAGTTCCTTTCCGATTTGCACATACAATTTCCGATTTGCACATAGGTAAAATTCATGTTTGTGTTAAGCTCTCTTCAATGTTTTTTCTTTTATTTGGGCTATAAAAAATGTCCATCCAAAAAATTTGTACCATTTCTCTTAATCATATGCCCTCAAAACTTCTAAATTTTGATCTTTGTATCTTATCTTTTGATCCTTTTGACATCTGGGGCTGTACTATCTAAATTTACTTGAGTAACACATAAATAGTTTCCTAATTTTATCTGTGATTGGTGGGTTTAGTTTTAACAGCTGTCACAGATTGGCTGATGGGAGTTACAAACTCGTAACTATTTTGATTTGCAATTACAGGTGATGCCCAAGCGCACAAACAAGCCTGGTATTTCGTCGACCAATCGCTTCCCTCGTGGGTCCCGACCTCGAGGACGTGCTAGATCAGGATTTTACGGCGGAGGAGGCTACAGACCCATCAGGAGACCGAGGTGTGTTGCTGGTCCTTGCTCTTTTTGGAGTCCATGTGATTTATGAAACTCTATGCTCGTTATGAAGCCTGGGTATTTTTGTGTACGTATGCTTTCTAGAAAAATATTGCATAACTTGCATAATTGTACCTGGTTTCTTTCCTGAACGAGATTTGAGTCGTGAAATTATTATTTTGAAAATAGGACTAATAATTTGTTTGCTCACTTGATTGGTGTAGCCTTAGTTTAACGCAAGGTTTACGTTTTATTTTTCACCTCTGTAAAAACTTCACCTAAGCAATTCTTGAGAACAGCTGAATTACAAGATTAAGCTTCACTCATATTATCTATATAAATACTTTTTGAATCTTGAATATTGGATATATTCTACTTGTTCGAAGATTTTTTATGTTGTGCTCCAATCTAAATGATGAAAACATCATTCGGGACCAGAATAAGCAATGCTTTTATCTGGGCTGAACGTCTACTAATCTTCTCTCTGAATTAAAATCTTACTCATCTTTATGTTGTACTATTTTCTTTGATCTCATTATGATTTTTTATTTCAGAGGCCGGCGATACCACTACTCACCCTACTAACTCGTACTGGAAATCCAGGTATTTGCGTACAGCATACCACTTTCATGCGGTGGTCTCTAATACGCTCGAGTGGGCTCGAAAGCTCTGGACTACCTTCATGTAGTGGTGTCCAGTAGGCTTGAAAGTTTTGCAATATTGTCATGCGGTGGTATTCACAGGCTTATAAGTTCTCCACTACCTTCATGCAGTGGCCGCTTAGAGGCTTGAATGGATTTCAAGCTCAGCTGCGAATGATTACCTGTATATAGCTTCAGCTAGGCAATGTCATAACTTCATGTAATCGATTCTTGTGGATGAATAATTTGTTATGCGTCAATGTTGTTTTTATTTTGCAGCAATTGTTTTTTCCCTGATGTTTTTGAACCAATCTAGGCGAGGCTACTGACTATTGATGTAAATAATAATTTTCATGTTTATTTTTTTCTATTTCAAGTTTGAGGAAGTTCATTTTCTTGCATTTTTTTACAAATTTCTACAAAATCCTAATAAGATTGAACTGAATTACATAAGATGACGCTAGCCGAAATAGCTCACTGAAGTCACCATGGTGTAATGGCCTTCAACAGAGACAGAACTGAGGCACTGGCAGTGAGGTCAGGGGCTGGGAATGCGCTGGTCGCTGCTGTCAGCTCCACGTCTGCTGATCAGGTAGTGTATGGTTCATGGGGACTCTCAGCACACTTACTAGCGTTTATTTCCTCCCATTCAGTCAATGAGAATAGCAATTGTCGAACTCGTTATAGTATTTATTTCATCTCATAGCCTCGCCATTTTACTAATTTGAAACTCGTTTGCAACCAATCTTCAATTCGAACAAAAACGAAAAGACGAAAAAAGCTTCATACTTAAGTTCATTGCTATTTAGAAAGGTACAGCTCATCTGTTGATAAGGTAACTAGCAAAGGAACTATGTTGTATGCTGAGAGTCCCCACCTGAAAAGAGCCATCACTATCGGCCACCAAGCTTAGGATTAAGTAATCAACATTAAGAAGTAACTTAATAACGGACTTACAACTTATTCTCGTTTGTGCATTGATGATCAAAACAATGCTGTATAAGTTTAGCATCATCTGCTTATAGAAGTAGGAGCTTTTTTCTAATATTTTCCCTTCACAGGTTATAAAGCTTGTGCAAGGCAGTAAAAAAATTGACAACCGATCTCTGTAAACTGCCTAGCCAGCTACAAAAGACTGCTTTTTGCAGCATTTTTTCGACGCTAAATAGATTAACACAACAAATTGTTTGGGAAATAAAAAATTGGAAAACAGACCGAAAAAACGATTGTATGACAAAACATGTAAAGGATGAAGTAAAAAAAGTTGTGTTAAATTTTGTATTATTCAAGCCTAGCAATCGTTTTATAATAGTAAAGATTTGAATAATGATCTTGGCATAGTTTATCGCCATATTAGATGGAATTTAATTTTGAATTCCCATTTTTCCCTCTTGGAATCAGATAAAATTTCAACGTGATGACTAAATATTTCTGACCAGTTAACAAATGTGTCTTTATTAATGATATTGCACGAAGAAACATGAGCATCGTGCCCATTGATGCGAGTTCCTCTCTCTTGGCTCAAATCTTCACTCGTGAAGATTTGAGTTCCACGTCAGCTTCCCGGCCCCACACTTGCAGCCCGTCCTCATTTGTCTTGTTTGGCCTCGTGCATCTGCGGAAAAATTAAGTGTCACCAAGATCCTTCCAAGAAAATGCGAGCTTTCAACGAACGATTGAATAAGTTTTCAAGCAGCTTACTGACGTACATACATCGTTTTTCGTATTGCCGTAAATGGTATCCCAAATTCCTTTATACCGCAAATAATCAGCAGATACTTTCAAAACTCGCTAAGTGAACGTAAGTAATTACGCTCTATTTTCTTGTCTATGATTGGCGGATTTTGCTTGAAAGGCCGTCAATGAGTGGCTGATGAACTTACGATCTCTTAACTTTTTTTTGAAAGTATAGCAGACATTCTTATAGTAGAACAAGAAAGCTTAAGCAATGAATGGCACCGCACTATTCATACGTTGTTCATTTCAAGTTTACGATATTAGTAGTTAGACACCTGCTGCAATCGTTACTCTTCGAGACTGAGGCCATCATTTCTAGACAAGAATTTAGTTTAAGATAAACCAGTCTAGAACCGAATTTGACAAATGATTTTTATTAATCGCAAGTTCGTGTTATTCATGATCTAGGAATACATCACACGAAGTGTGTAATATGTGTAATATAATGTAACTACTCCTCTATCTCTGGACATCGTTTTACGGTTCTACAAATGGGGAATAATGATTAAAACACATTGCTAACACGCCACAAGTTTTGTTGGCGGTCAGTAACTGATACTAACGGCCTTGCAGTGTTTCTTAAGCTTGCTCGGTAGGCCGAACTTTTTGCCACAGATGGGGCACGTGGTCGCGGCAGCGTCCTCAGCAGTGCCGTGATGGACGCGCTTGTGTCGCGCCAGCATGTCCTGAAAATACATTGTTGTATTCATTAATTCAGTCACTTCATCATTTGCTGTTGTTCTAAGCTTATTTTAAATAGATACTTTTGCATCTTTTAACCACATTCAGCAAGATGGAATGTCAGCTTGGGAAAATATTTAACAGAAATTCTATTAAACACCGGATTCAACTTCCAATAAATTATTCGACAGACTAAGATCAACTGAAACGAATTCATGAAAGGAATGATTACTGAGGGCTAATAAAGAGAAACTCACCTGAGAAGAGAATTTCTTGGAACAAATGACACACACAATTTCGCCATTGTGTCCCTTCATGTGAGATCGTAGTTTGTTCTTAGCAATAAAAGTTTTCGAGCAAACAGTGCAGGCAAACGGCCGCACACCCGAGTGTCTAAGCGCGTGGTTATCCCGTGTAAATTTGAGCGCGAATCCACGGCCACAAACGTCACACAGAAACGGCTTTTTGTGCGAGCTTTCGTGGCGTTTAAGGCAATGAGCGTTCTTAAACGTACGGCCACAGGTACTACATTTCGGTGAATTTTCTGTAACGTGGAAAACTTTTATGTGCCGCTGAAGACTGTACTTGAAAGAAAACTTCGAGGAGCATTTGTCACACGAGTAAGGCTTCTCGTTCGAATGTTTTAGTTGATGATCTAGGAATCGATATTTCAGATTGAATTGCTTGTTACAAACTTCGCACGTGTAACCTTTTAAAGGTTTCCGTACCCTAACATAAGTGTCTTCAGAGGAAGCAGTCAAGTCATCAAGTGTTCCCACATCTGCCTCTTTTAGACAGAACTCGACTATGTTGCTTGACGAAGCATTGCTTGTAGAAGGCCGAAGCCTATTTTGGGTTTTTTGAGTAGTCGAAATTCCAGGTTGTAAGGTGAGATTGACGTTCTGTATAGGTACACCTGAACTGTCTATGTTGGGAGAAAGGGTAGAAGTTTGCGAACGAATCTGTGACGTTTGTTGACCTGTAGAAACGACGGCTGTCTGTAATTGATCATTTATGGAAATACCAGAATTTTGTTGCTGGATTATATGTCTTCCATTCGAAGATTTCTGAACTAAATTACGAGATTGAATTTCCACATGTTGAATAGGAGATCGCTGCAAGGTATTGTGGGTTGACTGTATTTGTTCCATAAGATGCTGCTGCTGTAACTGATGCCGCTGAACGTTGTTCTGAGGTTGGGCTTGAAGGATTTGAACATTAGGTTGTTGAAGACTTTGCTGCATATGCACTGACCGAACGTTGATGGTTTTCTGAGAGCATCCAATGTTTAGTTGAATGCCGGATTGAGAAGAGTGGTTAGGCAAGCCCATGTGATGCTGTAGCTCGGCTGTGTACGAGTCCATCTGCTTTGCGTGACCGAGTTTGTAGGCGCCATCTTGGGCTTCTCCGGTGCTCATGAGAGTAGAACCTTTGTTATTTGTCATCTGAAACGTCCAGAAAGGTAAGTTACAATTTAATAATCAAGTCATACTTTATAACATTAAGGGAAGCACGAAAACTCCAGTTCTTTTGGGTCATCAGTCCATCTGAACGAGTTTTATTTGGATCAAAACAATGATGCAGAACCATGGATAAGAATTTGAAAGTAAATTATTTTATTACTAAAACAAGAAAATAAATGTAGCAGGTTTACATATTACGGTAAAAATTCGATCCGTACTTACTGACTGTACCGTGTTGGAGGCTTCCAAGAAAGGTAGTCTCTGAACTTTGCGGCGTTTGTTTCTGCTAGGGGCAGTTGGAAATTCATTATTTTTCGTGTTCAAGTTGAATTTGTGTGTTGTATTGATTTGTGAAAATGAAGGTTGAATACCACATAGCTGTTCGTTCGGTGCACAGCTCTTATCACCGTTGTCAGGTCTGAGGCATGTCAAGGAACCTTGCTGATTTCCTGGGTTCTGATGGAAGAACTGCGTTTGCTGAATTTGATCCATGCCATTCTTGTGATGGTCAGAACCGGCAGGACCGCCGCTTGTGCTTGCATGAATTTGCATTTGTGGGACCGACATGGAAATCCTTATGCCGTCCAGATGCCTCATTGGCGCAACCAAGTGACCACAGCTACCTTCATTTCGGTGCTGAGCCATTAGAGGAGCTGAGTGCTGCGGCTGACAATTTGCAGCAAGTATCGAGTGTTTGGAGACTCTTGAAGAATTGTCATCATGAGGCATGGAAGAGTGACGGGGCTCCATGACCAAAGTTAAGGCATTTACATCGGAGTTCGATGAGGCTCGCCCGCTTACAAGGTACTGATTTTCGACGTCTGCCAGTGACGCTCCTCTCAGAGAATCCATATCGAGCGAGTTGATGGTCGTCATCTGCTCGAGGTCTTGATGAGATTGTTGTAGGCATGGCTTGAAATTCAAAGATAAGTTATCTGGTAAAGAACATTGTATTTCAGCAGCAGAATCACGGCTCATTCCAGGTATAGGTTGCATGGCATCCGAGCAGCGTGTCATATCTGGCTTGCCATAAGCTCCAACAGATAGAGCAATGCCGTTTTCACCAACTAGAGATGCAGCATTTGCTACGTCTAAACCTAAAAAATCCGACACCGAGCACTTGTCATCTAGAGTCATGGGAAGCAAGCCTTCACAATTGATGGGAGCATTCAAAGAGGTGTGAGACGAATGCAATGCGTGGATCAAGTTAGGCATTTGGTTAATGTATGCGCCATCATCGAGAGTCGCGCGAACAAAAGTCACGTTCGAAATGCCACTGCCAGGAAGTTCTGGGTTGGTTAGGGCCTCATCAAATTCAACTCCTCCGTCAACCGCGTCGTCTTCTTCATCTTCGTTTTGATCTTCACCGCAGTCTCCCTCATCGTACTCAGATGACTGGTCAGAGAACTCAGACGCTTGGTCCTCTGCAATTCCTCCTTCAGTGGCAGGCGCCTCGAGTGGGGTGGTACCGTCAGAAGCTGCAGCGTTGGCGGCCGTGAGCGCCAACTCGCGTTGTTCTGCGGCCAGGGCTGCCGCCTGACGTTGCGCTGCTTGCTCAACTGTAAGTATGAGATTAGCAACAACCTTTATCAATCATCAGTAAACTAAAAACATAGATTTGGTAATTTTTCAGAGATTTATTTTGCACAGGAAAAGCAATTAAATCTGCATATATATCTCATAAATAAGAGATGTCATATGATAGGAAGAATTAATGCTGGAATTCTACTTAACCCTCATACCCCTTTCCTTGAAGCTGATCCTGTCATCGTCATCAGAAGTGCTGGAGGAGCTAGACGAAGATGAAGACGAGGAGCTCACAGAAGAAGTATCGTCATCATCATCGTCGTTATCGTCATCATCATCGTCCTCTTCTTCATCCTCGTCTTCTTCTTCCTCCTCTTCGTCGGCATCAGCAGCTTTACTGTTTTTGGTAGCAGCAGCAATATCGGCATCAGGTTCACCATCTTCAACACAATTCTTGGGCTGTACATCCAGATAAACTTCTTCACCATTACGACTGTTAACTTCACACGCATTTTGTGCCACACTCTCATCGCTCACTATATCACATTTGTATCCAGTTTCCGATGCATTACCAAATTCAGTAGAATTTCCAGGGGTGTTCGGAATAGGATTCTCTCGATTGCCAACTATATCATCTATTTCAGTGTTTAAAGCGCACTGGTTCGGAATGTTTTGTTCTTTTTTGCTAAGAATATTCGCAGGTTTGCGATCACAATCTCTAGAACATGATTTACGGAGTTCATTATAATCAGCAAGGCTAAGTTCAACTCGATAACTATCTCCGGATGATACTCCCAGACGATCTTTGGAAATTTCATCAGAATTTTCATGTATGTAAGTTCGCGTTTCTTTCTCATACCCGTTCACACACAGCTCTGTAGATGACACAGGCACCATGGAAAGTTTATTAATAGTTTCACTTTTCTCACTAGCTGTTTCATCGCCGTTTATACACGCAATAAAATCAGAGAAACAGTTTTGATTTTCAATGACGTTTGTTTTTGCTGGATTTTTGCACGTGGCACTCTCCTTTGCTCCTTCACAACTATCTTGCGAAGATTCTTCATGTATTATCAGATTCCTCGAGGCATCGTCATCAACGTACGTGTCGTTAGTAGAATCTTCTAACACTACTTTTGGAGTTTCAACATCCCTATACGTCAGAGGTGCGTTTGGACAATCGATCGGCGTAGATGTATGAGAAAATGTAGCTGTCAAATGTTTGCTTTTTACACAGACATCAGTCGCTGACAATGAGATACTGCGATCTTCAGATGAAGAGGTTGACAGCGATAAAGTTGTAGGTGACTTTTGCATAATTGTCAATTCATTATAAACAGTTTTCCTGTGAAAAGAATCAGGTCCAATTGACATGGTAATATTTTTGGGTACAGCACAAACTGGAGGTGATAGAGATGGAACAGCAACCGGTAACGCAACGAGCGATGGTGAAAGAGCTCGGTGGGAAGGTACGGCTGTTTTATGACAGATGGCAAGAGACTGACCAAAAGAGAACACAGGCGACGTCGATAACCGAGGATAATTACGAGCAGGTAAAGTGCAAGGAATATTTGGAGAAGAGGAACGAGCAGGCATTGATAATGGCGAGTGGGCGTTACATGAGAAATTAGGAGCATGGAAATGACAAGGTGAAGAAAGAGGTATGCCTCCAGCCGGTGAAGGTGATCGGATGAAAAGAGAATGAAGAGGTGGGGATGGAAGAGGGAAAGAAAGGGGCCCTGAAGGAGAAAGAACAGCATACTGAGGAGAAGAAGCTACGTAAGGCCGGCAAAATGACGGGGAAGGAATTGTGTAAGAAAAACTAGGCGATGGAGTTGATATTGGTCGGGAATATGCTGGTGAGGGAGTCGACACAGGTCTGGAATGAACTGATGCCGGGATGCATATATATTTTGATGGACCCACAGTTGGCTGGACCAAATTTGGAAAATGAGAAAAAGAAATTGATGCGATGGATTCGGATACATTGCTTTTTTGAGGAAGGGTAGCCGAGGTTAAAGCAGTCGACGGTGAGGATGAGCAATAAGAAGAGTTATTAGACGATATGGAATCGGCTACAGAAAGTAATGGATAATTTTGAGTAGAAGGTGTAGAAACCTCTGGCTTATCAGTAGAAGATGAATTAGGAATTGTATAAGTTGGAGTATTTATTAGAAGTGAGCTAAATTGACTGGGAAGAGCTAAAGTATGAACTGGAATCTGCAGACCCGATAATGGTGGGCCGCATGTATTATTTGAGGCTGCAGATGAAACAGTAGCGTTCTGATTATTAGGTGCAGACGTAACAGAATCAAATGAAGCTTGGACTGTCGAAGAAACACACTCGGATGGATTAAAAACAGACGGCATGCAAAAGACATTAACATTTAGAGCTGAAGCTGAGTGTTGATTTGAATCTGAAAAACATTGAAAACTGTTGCTGGAAGCTGGCGTAGAGAAATTGAGAGGAATTCGCGATAAATCCAGTTCAGAGTTGGCAGAGACTACAGATGGAGTGGATCTCTTTTGTGAGGGAACTTGAGACAGATTATTGGATAAAGGAGGAAATGGAGCTGAACATGTTTCCGAGGAGGTTGCCCCTGGAAGGATGGCATTGGCGGAAGTTGAGAAGGATACAGGACTAGATGTCATGGAAACAGAAGCTAGCTGGTTGGAATTTGTTGAATGAAATGAGGAATTCTGGGTGTGAGAAGATGATAAGGAAATAGAACGATCAGGATCAGGCAAAGAGAATAAATCATGGCGAGGGTGAGTTAACGATTGCGGTGGACCTAGAGAACAGCACTCGGATGTCATAACAGGTTTAGTAGAGGTAGAGTAACAAGGAACAGGAATAAGGGTATGAGATGACAATGGATGAATTTCAGTTGCAATTTGAACTGAAGAAGTAACAGTGAAAAGATTATCTTGACAAAGTGATTGCGAAGTAATGGGTAATGCTGAAACACTTGACGATGGCATTGATCCAAACAAATTACTTGTATGAATCGGTACAAGAGATGCTGAAAAATTTTGGTTTGTAGCATCGTGCAGCGAGACATCACCCACTGAAGACGACGTAGAGCAAGTAGAACTGAAACTCTCCATTAATCCCGAAAAAGACAAAGATTTTACGGTTTCTTGAATGGTTTTATGCTTCTGTATGTTTCCATCACTTGATTCTGAGCGAGATATAGAAGATGAAGATTCAAAATGTTGGTTTCCTTGCGGCAAAACATCACTTTTGGCACCATATTCCTTGTTATTTTGATCAGATCTTCCAGGTATTGGCGTCTTCTTGCTTAATAGATTCGAAGGTAAAACTACTGAAGTGGAAGTGCAAAGCAAAGAACTAGTAAGTGGTGCTTCCATGGGAGCAGCTGTATGGTTTAGGTCATTTGAACAGTGACTTTTTTGAATTTCTGAATTAGTTTTCTGCTGGCAGCCTGCAGAAACTATTTCCTTTGACGCCGGGAAATTATCATCACCTGCATCAAAAAATTGGCGGCTAAAATGGCATTTGGAGAGTTCATTTTCTGATGGATCTAGAGAGTATGTCTTTCCCACAGACAAATCTGCTTCACACGTGGCTTTTTCTGGGCTGAGTTTCGAGCTTTCCAGCTTCACTTGCTCAACAGTTTTCGACTTCTTACCAGTCTTGATCGCTTCAACAACATCCGATGGTTTTTCAAAATCATCAATAATGTTAGTGAAGACTTTGGTGCTGCCATTTTTGAAACAAATAACATCTGCAGTAGATGCCTGACTAGAGCGATTGCTAAAAATTTTATTTTCTTGGTTATGTGATATGGTTGATGCTGAAGAAACCTCTTCTTTGGCCATAAACATATGAACATCATTAGTTATATCTTGAACTGAGTCAATGGTGTCCAGATCAGAATTCTGGTTGATAAGATAATTTTCTAATGATTCTGGACTCCGCTTTTCCACAGATCCTCCATTTACAAATTGTTCCTCTTCAAGCTGTACTTTGATTTCACACTCAGGTTCCTGAGCTGTAAGGGATGGAGAAACAGATCCTTCCAATTTGTTACCCTGAAGATAAGTACTTGAACAATCATCATCTTCCACACACTCTTCCTTGACTTTAAAATCATTGGAAGTATCTACTGGATTATCAAGCTGATCAGAAGCTATGAGGACATGGCATTCATCATCACACCACCGGATGACCGTGTTGGGTGTGTAGCTGGACAGTTGAGTGTGGTTGCACTCCGACAGTGCCAGGCTCTCCCAACCACACCAGCAGCAACTCTGCTCACTTGCACCAGACTGTCCATTGCACTCATGGCCCAAGTTGTGCAGTAACTGGTAACAAAATATGCATTTTATGATCATTTGAAATTTAAAATAAACTTGTGAATAACTCAATGAATTTTTATCAAGACTAACTAAAGAGAAAACATTCCACAGCTGTACGGTCTAAAGTAATCATTTCTGGTCAAAAATTTAACTGGAAGCTATTATAGAAAATTCACTATACGTATACACTAAATTAAAACCTGGAGACAGCAAAACGAAACAAATAATATAAAAGTGTGCTCTCAGAGGATAGAAATACCAGAATATTGAACAAAGAGCTCATTATGACAGAGATGAAAAACATTTTGGATTTAGAAAATAGTAATGAATTGGATTTCACCATTTCCCACAATGTTTAGCTTCCTTTTCCTCTCTATCGTTTGGTTTTATTTTAAAAAGGTTATATATGGCTGCCTTTACAAGAAACTCATGGCCATCAATGGAAAATACTAACCTTGAAATGACTTTATACTCATTTTAAAATATCATTCCATAACAAGGCCTTATTATAGCATAGGTTTATGGTTGCTACCTGACTCAAAATAAAGTGTAAGGAGTGAAGCCCAATGACAAGCTGTGAAGATTGTTCAGGGTCTTGCACATTCAGTGCTACTTTCTGCAGCACCACTTCAAGGCCCCATGATTTAAGGACACCATCAGCACATACCTGTAAGACAATAACCAAATGATGCACTCTGAAATATGGTCTCAGTAATTCATTTGCAATAATTTTACAAATAATTAGGTTATTCAATAATATAAACCATGATGAAGCTAATGGTGAAGGTGTTTTATGCTATAAAAATTCACTCTCAAGTCTCAACCATTCATTTGAACCTGAAACATTCAACAATAGTAAAAATATGGAGAGTACTAAAATAACTAAGAAGAATTAAAGGATTTTGGTTAAAAAAAGGTGGATAGTACACTTGTACAAATATACCGTATACCGTATGCTAATGTGCAGGTAGTACGTATTGCCAGGCGATCAAGTGTAAAGGGAAGTCAAAATACCATAGTTAAGATTTGTCTTGATATTTGCAAAGTTCAACTTTTTATTTTCAAGATACGGGCTAAAAAGAATGAAAAATATCCCAAAAATACAGTTATGAATGTTTGTGCACAAACACAAACTTACAAATGACATCAGCAACCACTGCAAGTCTGCAGATATAACTGTACCAGCCTAAGCAGTCAGCAAGATACAGGACAATAGACATGGCAGCCAACCAAACTGGAAAATCAGGCTGATGGCACCTATGAAGGTAACAAATTTTCTCACAAATTCTGTCAATCTCTTAAGCTCCTAGCCTCCTATGACCCATACATTTTTCTGAAGAAAAAACACAAAAATTAGTTCATTTTTGTCTGCCATTTTTCCAACATTTATAAATGTTTCTTTTCAACAACAATTTTCAGAAAATTCTACATAATATTCTGATTTATTCTGCCCACGCTCAGGGTTCTAGGTCTAGGCTGCGGCTGCCTGCTGCCACAAGTTGCAGATCAGTGATCACATATGTAATGGATATGAAAGTTTGACTGTGGATTACTGTATAGCTCATTTTGTAGATGATATATCATTGATGATAGATTATTTTGAACACTTGCCATGTTGCCAATGATGTCTCATAACATAGGTCTACAGTCTCCACTTAAAAGCAATTTGACATAGTTTATTGCTTGTCACTGAAAACCAAACAATAATACAGTACAGGCTGCCAGTTGAAATTCAATTTTTTAGGGTTTTATTACCGGTACCGCATAATAATAGAGAATATTTTGTGATTACACTGGAAAGTTTTGTCTCAGTTTTGTTTATAAAATACTAGTATAGATTGTTTGTATAATTGTATTGAAGGTTGGCATTGGCAATATCATTAACATGAATGCTGTGCTGTGGCAACATTAGCAGCATTGAGGATAGGGTAAACACGGTATATTCCAACATCGTAGGTAATTCCGACACTTCTCAACTTTTTTCCTTTATATTAAGCTTTGTCTTAGTTCCAAACATTCCTTGATGGTTGAAATAGTGATGTCATACTATTGACACTATTGCCAAAACACTAGGTCTGGGCCGTCTGGCGAGAGAATTTTAAGATCCAAAGAGAGACAGTGCACGTCACCCAGTGAGAACATCGAAAAACGTGTCAAAGTTGATAGTTGATTTTGCTCTACCAAATAGTGATTAACTGTTTGTGTAGAAAGAATATTATGGTTTGAGACTTTTCAATAAGTCTGTGAATATATTAGGAATCCTTTAAGTATACTTGTATATGCTGATTTCAAGTGGTAAATAAATTAATAGATGATTAAGTTAAGTGACGGTTTTAGACACATAAAAACTAATTCAGATACAGCTTGCAATTAGACACACACAGCTAGTGTCCAAAAATTAAAATTTGCTTAATTAAAAGCTTAATAGCTCTTAATTAAAAGCTTAATTAAAAAATTACAATTTTTTAATTAAGCTTGTTCCGAGCTGTGTCGTATTCTAATACAGCTCACACAGGGCGTCGGAATTCCAACACAGGGCGCCGGAATTATAAATTAATAGAGTTTAAACCGCTGCTGGAATTAGTCTCACAATAGGCCAAATTTAGTCACACACAGCATTGGAATTCAGGGATTTTGTAGGTTTGAATTCTGAAGGCTTTTAAATGAATATGGCAACAGTTTGTGACGTTTCATCAATGCTGGCGCATAGGGTAAATGCAGTATATTCCAACATTGTGGGTAATTCTGACACTTCTTGACTTTTTTTCCTTTATATTAAGCTTTGTCTTAGTTCCACACATTCATTGATGGTTGAAATAGTGACGTCATACCATTACACACCAGGCTATTGCCAAAACATTAGGTCTGGGCCATCTGGCAGAAAAATGTTGAGATCCAAAGAGAGACAGTGCAAGTCATCCAGTGAGAACATCAAAAAATGTGTCAAGTTGATAGTTGACCTTGCTCTACCAACTAGTGATAAACTGTGTGTGTAGAAAGAATATTATGGTTTGAGACTTTTAAATAAGTCTGTGAATATATTAGGAATCTTTTAAGTATACTTGTATTTGCTGATTTCAAGTGGTAAATAA